TGTGACCCTGATTGTTTGCTATAAGTAGCCATCATGTTGCCTTTGTGCTTTGTCGTGTATTGAATGCATTTATCCTGCTGTCGGCGAATCTAGTCTGTTCATGTCTAGCCTAGTCTGTTCAAGTCAAGTCAAGTCAAGTCTTTGTTTGTTTGGATTATGTTTGGATCACTTTGTTTAAAAAAATCTGCACTTAGATTCATCACTACGCTCACCTACAGTGGACTATCATTACATAAGAGCATTTGTGTAAATTTAATTATTTCTTATTTTTTTTAAATTTGTGATGCGTTTGGCTGCAGCCTAAATTAATCCTCACTGTAAATTTTCAGATTTTTAAGGATGCTATAATGTTATGTAGGGATTTCTTAATACCACAAACCACAGGACTGTGATATGCCACTGAATCAACTCATCATGAGGCTCTGGATTAATCTAATCAAGAGATGCCACAGAGATCTTTTGTATGAGGACTGAAAATACCGCGTGATGCCTCGTGATCCAATGAATTGAACTATTATATGTACGCACAGGAAGCGGCTATGTTATTCACACCCTCGGGCGGGCAAGCACGGGATATACAGCGTGACGTCACATGACTTTTGACCACCTGCTTCCTGCCCTGTCTGAAACCCTTACAAAACTTCTCTTACAACAAAAGAAACAGAACCTTGCATGACGATTTTAACAGACAAACGTTTAAAACTCATAAGTAGTGAAAATGTATCCACTGTATGTGTTATGCTCAACTGAGGTTGTTGAGACCATCCTCCAATCCAGAGCTCCCTCCACGAGGAAACTGTACGCCTTGAAGTGGAAACGTTTCACTTCTTGGTGCGGAGACCGCCAGCTCGACCCAGTTAACTGCCCGGTTGATACAGTGCTGGAGTTCTTGCAGGCCCCTTTCTCCACAGGGTTGACCCACTCCACCCTGAAGGTCTACGTGGCGGCTATTGCGGCCTACCACGCCCCTCTTGGTGGCCAGTCAGTGGGCAGACACCCCCTAGTTACACATTTCCTCCGCGGTGCGGTGAGGCCTCTGGTACGATCTCGTGTCCCCACGTGGGACCTGGCTGTGGTGCTAGAGGCTCTCTGTAGGCCTCCCTTCGAGCCTATTGAGGAGATATCTGATCGCCTCCTTACTATCAAAACTAGCTTCCTCTGGCGATATCTTCTCTCAAGAGAGGTGGGGATCTGCAGGCCCTTTCAGTGGCCCCTTCTTATCTTGACTTTGCACCCGGTCTGGCCAAAGCGTTTTTGTGCCCTCGAGCGGGGTATGTTCCTAAGGTCTCCTCCTCTACAACACAGCCTGTCGTGCTCCAGGCCCTCAGTCCTCGTCCCTTAGGGGATCCAGACCAGCAGAAGCTTAATTGTATGTGTCCAGTGCGAGCATTTGTGGGCATTCGCGTTTCCCTAGCGTTTTCGACGCAGCTCGAGTTCCTGAAGAGGAACGTCTC